GGACCGTGGCTGCCCGACAACGCGAACGATTTTAGGCCCATTTTCTTTAGTCTACCCCGCAAATGTTTAGTCACATAGAAGTGCGATGTCATCTAGATTCCTCCGCCTTGCTATTGCTTTCTTCAGTCAAGCTATCCTCCTTATAATTCATGAGGTACTGTTAACACATGCATCTTGCTCTCATTAGCTATGCACTGAAAAAAGAAGAAAACTCTTCCAACAAAATGATATATCTACTGAATTACTAGAGAAATCGGTAAACTTAGATTCTGAAGAAAACAAAATTGGTACGATCGTTGAATCCGTAAAAACCTTTCGAAATGCACCATGAAATCATAAAAAATGGGTAAAGTAGAAGAAATTTGGGTAGGCAGCGCTGTCACAAACCCAAACAAATCCTCGATTTCGGACCCAGGGCCATAATTTTGCTAGGCCCCCCTTTTCAGGCGATTCTGGTGCTAATTGGCAGCAAAATCACAATTCCCTCGGGGCTGGTTCACATCGGTCGACCGGAACCTTGAGGGCCATAAGCCTCCCGATTACGGCACTATCCTTCCTACAACTGACTCCTGCTTCTTATCACGAAACATGGATCTGAGGGCCGGTCTTTCCAACGGGACACGGCTCCTGGTAATGGACACCAAGCCAAATGTCGGATTGAAAGAAGGCGCTTGCTAACCGCTTTTGTCAGATCATCCTAGAGTATGTAGATTGATAGTGAGGGAAAAGATGAGGAAAGTCAGCAACCGCATTTCTTCACTATTCGTAATTCCCAGGATTAGGGTTGACGACTTTTGGAAAAGTGCGCGCCGGAGGGCGCCTCCAAAACTGCCAGCGATGGGCGCCTTTGGCTGGCACATTGGAGGCGCGCCAGGGGCGCCATTTTTCGCAGTACAAAACATGTACAGTCTTCTCCCAGATGTTTATAGCCATCTGTTTTGAGCTCCACAGCAGGAACCTAAAAACTTTGAGTCACAAAAGTTTGTGGAATGGTGGAAAATGGGTTTCAAAGAATGAATATGAAACAATAATAATAAAAATCAAGATTTCAAAATTTGTAAAAAAAGATAAAAGAAAATCAACTTTTTTTGTTTGAGTGAAAAGTGAACACACAGAGGGCAAGTTTGGAACATGAAAAGAATGATTATAAATCAAAAATATTGATCCAAAAAAAGTTTCAGCATGGTGGGTGGACACCCTGCAGTCAAAATCAGTAGATTGCAGTACCAGAATGCCACATTTCTTGATGAATGACCCCCTAGGCACCCTTTTTAAACCACCAAGTAGTCATTTTTTTTTTCCAAATTTTCACTTCTTATTATTCATTCCAGATCTCATACTATCAATTTGGAGAGTTCATCTTTTCCTGAAAGGAATATTAGAGCTGTCAGTTTTTGTGATTTTCTCCTTTTTACCTTTTACAAATTTTGTAATCTTGTTTATCATTATTATTTTTTCATATTCATTCTTTGAGACCCATTTTCCACCATTCCACCAACTCTTGTGACTTGAAATTTTTGGGTTCCAGGTGTGGAGCTCAAAACAGATGGCTATAAACATCTGGTAGGAGACTGTACAGTGGGCGGACCGTTATTTTTGGCTGCTTGTTTTGGATCCCAGAGCTTCAAAGCACCAGATTGGGTCCCAAAAAATGAATATGAAAAAATAAAACAAAAAATGAAGTTTCAAAATTTGTGAAAAATGTAAAATAAAATTGATTTTTTTTTCAAAAGCTTTGATATTCATTTTGGGGGAGTCAGAGTGCTGAGAGAAAGGAAGATTGGGATATTAGAAGAATGATTATGAATGAAAGTTTTGGAAACATTGCTTTCCAGATGGCTTCAAACAGCTGTTGATTGGGGCATTTACCAGCCCACATTGCTGTAAAGCAGTAGTATTTACTGTTTTGGCTCCACATCACCTGGACAACTAACCTGTCCACACCTTTTTTGGTTCCAATTT